CCCCCGGCCTCGCCCCGAGCACCCCCCGGCCTCGCCCCGAGCACCCCCGCGGCCCGCCAGCTCACAGCTTCTGGTTGAGCCCGGCCTGGCTGCTGGGCTGGAAGTCGCTGACGATGATGCCGAGCTGCCGAATGTTCTCCACGAACTTCTCCAGGTGCTCCTCCAGGTGGTCAAACTTCTCCGCCATCGCCCGGCGCGCCGGCCCCGCCGCCGCAGCCCGCTCCCGCCCCGGCTCGCTGCGCTCCCACTTCCTGCTTCCGTCCTGGAGCCATCACTTCCGGTTCCTCCGAAGGTCGGGCCTCCGTGAGGGGCGGGGCTTAGAGGCGGGGCACGGCAGGCACGCTGCCTGCCGTGGGCGTGGTCCTACCCTGCCCTGCTGTGGGCGGGGCCTGCGTGGGGCAGGGGGCGTGGCCTCGGCCCAGTGGGGCCCGGATGCTTGAATACCACTATCTGCCAAGGCGAGCAGACCTGCCACACCTGAGTCCCTAGGCCTCTCCTGTGGTCTCTGGGGACCTGCACAGAGGTTAAATAGCCAGGAAATAATGAACCAGGTTTTCCCCTCGAAAAGAGTGAAAAAAGAGAGATTGCGTACACTGTATATGGAAAGGAGTAAAGTCTGACCCTGATTAAAATGAAAACCATTTCATCAGTTTCCCTTCAAGTTGCATTAGAAGCTACAAAGACAAACAATAGAGTTAGTCAAAAGATAAGTCGATACGCTCTTAACAAGTCTCCTTAGGGCAGGAGCAAAACAGGAGAGAGAACTAGTGTAAATGAGTGAGGAACATAATGTAACTTGGACGTTCACAATTTTGAAAGGTTAATTTTTTTTAGAAAAATCACAAAATTAACATAAGAGGAAAGCAGATGGATCTTCAATTTTTCCATAAACTGACCAGTGGCAAAAATATATATATATATATATATACATATCTCCTGTGAAGAAAGAAATACATAAGCCCTGACAATTTCTTACACGGATGTTTTTTTTTTTTAATTTATGTGTACTGAACTCCGAGTATTGCAGTGGCGAGGCAGATGGTCTATCATTTGAGCCCATCTTCAACTCTTCTACTGTAGTTATTTCTTGGGTAGCATCTTTATTCTCTTGCTCTAGCTGACCTAAAATGGGTTGCTACTATTTTATGTCCCCAGTGTAGCTGAGCAGACAGGCACACCCCACCACATCGTCCATGTCCATTGAGATAGGAGTTTCACGAACTTTTTGCTCAAGTTGGCCTCAAACTGTGATTCTCCTGATCTTCACCTCCTGAGTAGCTATGATTGCAAGCCTTAGCCACACTTGACAGCGTTTTTTCTTAATTAAACATTAAAATGAAAAGAGAGAAACATATCCCAGCTTATTTTGAGAGGACAGTATGAAAATCAGCTCTCAAGGACAGTACAAGAAAATATAGGTCAAACTTCCTTTTGAAAGTAGATGCTAGAACATTAGCAAGTGGAACCAGTTATCATGCATCTGTTACAGGGTGCTGCATAACAAACATCTCCAAAGCTTGTAACATCCTTGGCTTCTCATTTGCTCACAAGCCTGTGATGTGGGCTGAGTGTGGCATTCCCATCATGCCTTTGCTGCTTGTGGCCCTCAGCCAAATTGGCGTTGCTGTGGAAAGGAGAATCTGCCTTCAGAATGGCTCGTTCAAATGTGGCCACATTGGTACTGGACACCAGCCTGCAGGACAGCTGGCCTGGGAGCTGGGGGCCAGTTCCCCTGCAGGTAGGTGTGTCTGTGGGATTTGGAGGTTTCCTCCACTCACAGTGGCCAGATGACACAAGCACACGGCTGAGAAACAGGCAGGAGCAGTGATCATTCTGTGCCTTGGCCTTCACGCTCCCACCACGGCACAGTTAGAACCTCAACTGGGGACCATCAAGCTCACCCCCGGCACCCTCATCCCACAGCAGTAGAGTCCCGCCAACCTCACCCCACAGCAATGAAGACCTGTCAGTCTAACCCTGCAGTGGAAGAAAATGAAGTCAGGCTTTAGGAAAAGCTGGAGAGAGGGGAGACCCAATTGAAACCACTTTGGGAAAAGACAGCTTGTCACTTAGCACATTGAAAAAGGAAATGAGGATCCATTGGGATTTTCCTAGGACTCGCATGAATGATTAAATGTCTTTAAAATCTACTCATATAATTAAACTATTAAAAATAAAGGACAAAAAACTCAGCTAGATTTTTAAAAATAGATATTTGATAAAAATTCAACCAAATTCATTTTTGTTCACAAAAGAGAAAAACCTTGGAGAACACAGACTAGAAAGGAACTTTACAAGCCTAATGAGAAACAGCCACTAAAAACTTCTAGAAGGTGTGAGTGTTTCCATAATGAAATATTAGAAATATCGCCCTTACAGCCATGACAATAGCGAGCATCTTCACTGTCACCCCAGCCTTCCTGGCCGGTGTGGGCTCGGCACTCTGCTATGATCCCTCTTCCCCGATGTTTGACATCGAGGCCCTCTGTGCACCCTGAACTGACGTGGGATTCCAGGGTGTGTTCTATTGTGTGATGGTTTGGTTATGGCTTGTCTCCCAAAGGCCTGTTTGCTTGGTCTTTGGTGCAGAGGTGTAAAAATGGTTAACCTAGCCCCTAGAGCCCAGCCATCCATAGACTAGTTCAGAGTTTTGATTCATTTAAAGCTAAGGAAAAAGATGACAGAGAAAGTAGCAGAAAGAAACCAAAGTTTACATATTTTTCTCCTGCGATCATGATTCTTCCAAGAAGGTATTCTGTTCTGTGGACTAAGGCCTAGCAACAATGTGCTTTCCAAACCCTCTAAGAAAATGAGTGTTTCTATGGTTTTTACTTATGACCTCATCTGTTGTGCCCTCTCCTCATCACTCACATCACTTAGCAGGCCCTTTTCCGCTGCTTTTGGTACATATGTGCGCAGCCTGCAGGAGGAGCAGAGTGGGTTTAGCCCCAGAAATGTTGCACACGGACATTCTCCACACCTGCTTTCCCTTTGTGGCTTGCTGCCCAGCCTGAGTCAAATCACTTTTCCTCTGTTACCCAGCATGATTTGCATTCACTCCCTAGGGACCCATGACAACCTACCACAGCCCAGACAGCCTAACCCACGGAGAGTATTGCCTCCCAGTTCTGGAGGCTGCATGTGAAGATGGAGACACCTGTCAGGGTAGCTTCCTTCTAAAACATTGAGGGGCTGTGTCTGGCCTCTCACCCCACGTCTCATGCTTTGTTGGTGATCCCGGGGACTGCTTGCGGACAGGTCAGTAGTCCATTTCTTCACCAGGTTGGCCTTCTCCTGTGTGTATGTCCCTGCCCACATTCCCCCTTTCTAGAAGGGCACATCATGTCAGATTAGAAGCCACTCCAATATGTTGACTTACTTGCATTGCCTCTTGAAGGCTGTGACTCCATATAGGGTCGGACTCTGAGGTATAGGCGTTAGAACGCTAGTGCATCTCTATTGTGGGGGAAATAAGCAACCCAGACACCTTCTCCTTTAGTTCAGGGACAGTGGCACTGTTCTCTGGACAGTGACAGCAGCATAATGAACAAGGCTCAATGTTCAATAGGCCCAGCCTCATGTTGGTTCATAGTTCATCACCATCTCCATTGTAACTCTTTCAACTTACTCCTACTGTGAATAAGAACAGAACCGGAGGTTCTAGAGTCTGACCTTTAAACACAGACCAGAGCCCCACAGGTCCACTGAGGACTCAGGAGTCTCCACGCATTTCTAAGGCACTTCCCTCTCCATCCTCCCCAGTGACAACTGTTCTCTGCAGAGAACACGGAGCCCTGCAAACCCACGTAGGTGACCTCACAATTCTCCTTCCACCGCTCACACAGCAAAGCCACGGCCGCTTTCCCTCTAGTTAGCATCCTAAATACTGTTGATTTATTTGTAAGAAACGTTTTCAGACTTGAACACTCTCATCTCCGAATGTACGTTAAACCAGGCTGGAAAATCCCAGCGAGTCAGAAGGTGCAGCTGACAGCACAGTGCACAGGAAAGTCTGCAGAGCAGGGCTGACCGTGACTCCGTCAACCTTTACATCCCCTGAGGTCCGCCGGAGCAGCCTGGGAAATTTCCGCACCCATACAGCTTTGTGACCTTGGGATCTGAAGGCTGTTTCTTTCTTCTGTTCTTTCTTTAAATCCACCTTATTCTTGCTCTATCAGCACTCAAAGCCCCGAGTGATGCCATTGGAACAGTTTCACCATTCAATCTAATTTATTCTAAGAACTCAACTCAGGGTTGAAAGAAAAAAAAATCAGCTCTCCTACAAGAGGGTAAAACATGTGCTTTTCCCTTTGTAGATTTTCAGCACATTAACGATGACGCTTTGCAGTGTGGCTGCTTTGAAGATGGTGGTGGTGATGATGATGGTGATGATGATGGTGGTGATGATGGTGGTGGTGATGATGATGGTGGTGATGATGATGGTGGTGATGATGGCGGTGGTGGTGAGGATAGTATGATAAAATCATACTTACGGCAATATCTGACATTTTTGCCTATGCTGTAAATAATCTCACTTAGTCTTTACAAACCTAAGAAGAAACTGCTATAATTTGTATTTATATATGATCAAATACCAGCCAAGTTTTCCTAATGCAAGTATTGAAGGATAGAATAATTGGTAGAAGATTGTGATAGCTGCACTTCCCTATGTATCACATTGAGCATTGAAAAAGAGTAAGATTTCTCTTTTCTTTTACATGGAACATTTGTAGCTCTAGAATTCTGAATGGTATATTCCTGTGTGGCAAAAGGATGAGATGATGCTAGAGCAGCCTGCACACCGTCCCGTGAGCCAGTCAGCAAATGAAACGTTTGGTTGACATACATGTTCAAGTTTCTATTAAAAATGTGTCACAAGTTCAAAAGAGATGACAGGGGAGATCCCAGAAACCTGAATAAGCTCAGACGTCTAATGCTTTACAGCTCAGAAAGACAACTTGCTTAGACTTCGTAGGCTTTCACCATAGCAGGTTGTTCAACTCCCTGATTAAATCTTGATATTCCATAGTCTTTTGTAAAATTCATGACATTCAGCTGAGCTCTAAGGTTGCCACGATGACTCAGAAGAGAGATGGGCTATGATGGAGTCTGCCGTTCTCATTGTGATGATTCGGGAGACAAAGCCTTATCTTGTCGATCATTGTGGACCTGTGCACCTGCTCTGCGTAAAGAAGGCAGATAGATACCCAGGAAGCCGTCCAGCAAAGAACATCTGAGATAAGCACAAATAAGGCAG